AAGCCGTCCCTGTTCCTGGCAGGCGCTCTTGGAAAGGCTGGGCCTGTGTGGCCTGGAAGGAAAATGCTGTTTGCAGCAGGACACGTTTCTAGGATCCTTGAATAAGCCAGGAAGGGAGAAGCTAGCCCTGGGTTCCTGGCGGCTACTCTGCCACTGGCCTGAGACCCAGGGGTGTGGGAGGGGACTGTGAGAGGAATAAGGAAACGCACTATCATGCCGGACCTCAATGGTGGCCCCCAATCACCCTCTGCCATTTGAGCTGGCCCTGGAAATCACTGTCCCCTCCTATTCAGCAACTAACCCCTCTCGGGGCTGGTCCTGACTTCCAGGCCCTTCCTGTAACAACGGACTCTCTCTAGGCTGGGTATGATCTTACTCCACCCCCGATCAGGTGGACCGAGATGAGCACTGGGCTTGAAATCAGGACATTTGGAAGTTAGCCCAGACACTGCCACCTTCTAGCTGAGGGGGCCCCAGCCAGCCACCTAACCTCTCTGGGCATCAGGTCACATTACTGTTGGCCAGTTTCTGGTGTGCATTTACCTACAGTTCACATACACAATTTTACTTAATCCTCCTGACAATACTGTGAGTTTTATGGAAGGAAAATCTACTGAGGATCTCCACGGGAAAGAATGCCTTAGAGGGAAGCCAACCCAGGTGAAAGCAGAGGCAAGGGAGCGAGAGAGGCCAAGCCCAGGTGAGATGGTGTAATTCCTGGATCCAGCCAGGCCTGCAGGATCGGCCTGGGATTTCAGTCATGTGGGCCAATTAATCCTGGATTTTTGTTTAAATCAGATTGACTAGGGTTTCGATCACTTTAACCAAGGGTCCAGACTCTTGGGTAAGAGGACTGGGGGAAGGGCGGAGTGACAAGCAGGGGCTAGCTCGTGAAGCCCAGGCTATAGAGTTGAGGATTTATCCAACCTCTAGAACAGGACACTCTAACTCCTAAGCGGGAGAATTTTGATAGTATGACTGTGTCTTTTGGAAATAAAAGCTCTGCTAGCCAAGAGGGAGGGGGAAAAAGAGTTAAGGACTTTTTCTAGACATTTCAAAACCTTTAGAATATCTTTTCTGGGTTTTTCCCATCAGGACAAATGGCCTGGTCTGGAATTAGAGCCAAATTATGAATCCATCAACCCTGATGGCACGTATCAATTTATCTTAATGTCTGAAACTACACTCACACCTTTCAGACCAATCTCTTTTCTCTGTCACCAAGAAGAAAAGGGATCTTGGCAGAGATTAATCAGAGGGAATTTGGCTCTTCATAAGCGCCCTGTGCTGGCTGAAACAGAACCCCCGGCATTTCTGAGAAGAATTGTCAGCAGGTGAATGGGCTCGCCTGTCCCGTGTCATGGGCAGGCCTTCCACGGGGGCCTGGAAGACAAAGCACAAGCAGATGGGCTGTCAGCGGCTCCAGGAACTCGAATTCTCAAAGCCAGGAGAGAGAAGGCCGAGGGAGAAAAGTCTCCCTCCTGGATCTCGGCGCCTCCTCATTACACCGTCTCATTTCCCCTTGAGAGTGAAGGGCATAATTGGATCAAATGGAAACATGAGCCAGCCTCCTTCCCCAGCTTGGATTAAAGACTTCCAATATGGCTTCACTACCAAGCCTTTTGTAAATAAACTGTGGAGAAAAATGCCATTTGTTCTGCTGTAATTGCCTGATGAGCATCTTTAGATGGGTCTTTCAAACACACAGAATGAAATCATTTTGGGTTTAGAAATTTCTTTGTGCAAATCCTTCTCCATTCACTATTCTCCATAGAAGGAGTTTTTGAAGGGGGACTTCTTGACCAAGGATCCAGTTTGGAGCTTGTAGGCTGGCACTGGCCAGGGACACACCTGCTCTGAGTATTCTATCAACAAATACTTTCTAAGTACCTACTCTGTGCCAGACAATCCTTCAAGTACTTGGGATAGAGCAGTAAATAAAAGATACAAAGGTCCCTACCCTATTGAAGTTTACATTCTGGTGAGAACTCAGAACACAGATGTGTCCATTTCTCAGAACAAACTTTGTAGAAAACATCACACATCAAGTTTGTTTAATTGACAGATCGGAGAACTGTGAAATAAAGACCCTTCTGGTTCCTGTGTGTGATTTTATTGTACCCTTAAGGGTATAACATCTGGAAAACTAGACTGCATGGGCTAGGGATACTAAATACATGACATATATACCATCACTTACCAAACCTTTACCAGTAGAAGACATTACTAATCAATCAGTGCTCTTTTTTCTGATATGCTTGGATGTAGCCTAAGAATATATAACAACACATAATTAGGGCAGCCCCTACCAATGAATCTGAGTTGGCTGAAGAGGAAACCTATTTGCTATTTCTGACTTAGAATATTAATTAATTATTAATCCATTTTATTAATTCACTTTGCTGACAGACTATGGAATATCCAATTAGCACTAACCCCAGGAGGAGGCAAACACTAAGGAAAGGGTAAGAGATTGCAGCCACCTTCTCGGGCTAGTTTTCCCCTCAAGCTCTCTTCTCTGATGTCCCTACAGAGGTCTATACAACATAGCAGGTCAGAGCATAGCTCTGGAGTCAGGCAGCTCTGGATTCAGGCCCTAGTTCTGTTACTTCCAATTGTGTGGGGCCTTGGTCTGAGCCCAACTTGTCTGCCCTGTGAAATGAGAATAATAATGACACCACCCTTCTAGGATTGGTGTGAGGATTAAGTTAGCCAACATGTGTGAAGGGCTCTGCAGTGTTCTGTATACAATAAGCATTTAATGTTAGCTTAATGAAATTCAATCATTACACACAAGAGTGGATGGACAATTGTTTACAGCTGGCATCCGTTCTGACTGGTTGGTGCTTGCATCCTAATAGCTGTTAAATATTTTGAGTTTTACTCCTGGCTATTATTTTATTTAGGGGTCTGGTTCCCTCATGGGAGATAGCTTCAAAACTCTGGAGGTTAAAATAGATACTGACTGGTATTCAAACAAAAATGATTTTCAGTAGAATTCTAGGTTGTTGTTTTCTTGCTAATCAAGAATTTATGTTCCCTAAGGTGGCGCAGTTGTTAAGCGCTTGGCTGCTAATCGAAAGGTCAGTGGTTTGAACCCAGCAGCTGCTTCATGGGAGAAAGATGTGGCAGTCTGCTTCCATAAAGATTTACGGCCTTGGAAACCCTATGGAACAGAGTTCTACCCTGTCCTATAGGGTTGCTATGAGTCGGATTCGACTGGATGGCAATGCGTTTGGTATTTGGTTTGATAATTCTGAACTGCTGAACCAGTGGTGTAGATAATAACAAAAATGATATTGACAATGATAATAATGTTTAGAATATTTATTAAGAAGCACCTTACAAGTATGATTTCATTTAATCCTTCCAACCAACCTGTAAGGATAAAGTATCACTAAACCCATTTTATAGAAGCAGAAACTAAGGCTCAGTGAAGTGAAGATTCCTTGTCCAAGATCACACAGCTGGTAGGAAGTGGCAGAGCTAGGATCTGACATAGGTAATATGGACCTAGCACCAAAGTCTTAATGGCTGCATAGGTAGTTGATGCCTGACTCAGTGGGCATCAGGGTTGTGTGTTCTTGGGGTTGGCCCAGGGGTGTTAGAATTGGGCTCTGGCAGACCACAAGGGCACAGGACAAGTTAGCCCTCCACTCAGAGGGACTGAGCCTCTGTTCTTCACCTGAGAACAAGACAGAACCCCACAATCAAAGAGGAGAATGTAGCCTCAGAAGTTTGGGCTGTTAACTGGTAAGTACCATCTCCTTTACCAGCATTGTCAGAAATCTTCTACAGCACATGGGCTGGTCAAATTGGTTACTCCATTGCTGTCGAGTAGATTCTGACTCATAGTGACCCTATAGGACAGGGTAGAACTGCCCCTTAGGGTTTCCAAGGCTTTAATCTTTATGGATGCAGATTGACACATCTTTCTCCCGCAGCTGGTGGGTTCAAACTGCTGACCTTTCAGTTAGCAGCCAAGTTGTTAACCACTGCACCACCAAGCCTCCTTCAAATCGATTATAGTAAGTATTTATTACTTGAATCTTTAACAATTTCTACCAATTATCAATTGCTGACCTTGTTCCCAGGTTGTGCGCGCTAAGCACTTTCTAGACATTATCTCATTTAATATTCGCAATAGCTCTTTAAGGCAGATAATATTATTCCCTCATTTAAGATGAGGAGAGAAAGCTCAGAGAGGCAATCTAACTTGCCCAAAGTCACACAGCTACTGCGTGGTGGAGATGGGACTTGAATCCGAGCCTTCCTGACTCCACAACTCGAGTTCTTATCCACTTGTCTCTACATCAAACTCCATCAATGACAGATACAGAAGGGAAAACTAGAGAGGGGTGATCAGGAATTACAGAGGCCAACTCCGAATCTGTGAGGCCAGGTGGCCATTCTCAGAGCACGGCATTCATCTAAGCCTATGTGTCTTACTTTCTTAGTTTCTGTTCACCACTGCTGGCTTGTTGGGCATCTCAGAAAGAGAGCACTGGCTGCTGCTGAGTGACCCCATGTGTGTCAGAGTAGAACTGTGCTCCCTAGGGTTTTCAATGGATGACTTTTTGGAAGTAGATCGCCAGGCCTTTCCTCTGAGACAACTCTGGGTGGACCTGAACTTCCAACCTTTTGGTTAGCAGCCGAGCGCATTAACCATTTGTACCACCCAGAGACACACATCTTTACTGGAAGGGAGATTTGTGTCACTCCAACACTGCTGTCTTAAGAGATGTAAGGCAAACACTAGTCCCAGCTGCTGCTGAGACCAGCCTTTAGCAGACTGAGGGACCACCCACCTCAATATGGAGAGGCCTGCTGGCTCCTGATTGCATGATCTGAGGAGCAGAGTGGCTGCTGAACCCTGACACCTCCTGATTCTTTCCCATCTCGAATGGATGCTAGGCAAGCAGCCTGCCAGAACATGTGCCAAGGAGGCTGTGCCAAGGAGGCTGTGCCAGGGAGAGAAGGCTTCTGGAGAGCTGGCTCACCTTGAATGAGATTTCGTACTGCTCCCCTCCCCAGATCTCCAAGCCAGGGTCGTACCCGCCCAGCTCCCAGAACCACTTCCGATCCACGGCGAACAGTCCACCGGCCATCACAGGAGACCTGTTAGGGAAGAAAAACCTGCTGTGAAGATGTGACACCCTGGACACGGGCTCTCTGTGTGGCCTGATAATGCTACTTTCCTCCTTTTTCATCCACACAGCCCAGTGCCTGGCAGAGAATTTAAGGCCCTCTAGGTTAGGCCCCAGGCTTGCTTTCTTGCCTACAACTTCCCTTCATAAACCCTGCATTTGAGTCAAACTGATTCAAAGTTCCTTTCACATGGTCTACACCTGAGATTATCTGTGACATGAAATCCCCTCACCCCCACTTTGCAGCTGTATCATCTCTCTCTCTCTAGTCTCGTATTAGTTAAATGGCCTGAATCAGGCCTTTCCAAGTCTGTCTATGCTGTATAATCCCTTACAGATTTTTTTTAAAAAAAGCAGCTTGCTGGGCCTTACCCTAGACCTACTGAAGCAGAGTCTCTAGGGGATAGAACCTAGGGATCTCTATTTTCTAAATCTTCCTTTGAGGATTCTTACCCAGCCAGCATGGACATGTGTTCTGCTGTGGTGTCTATGGTGGAAACCACAATCTCTGTTGTTTCAGTCAAATTGGAAGATAAGATTAACTCCATTCATTCTCTCATTAGTATATTCAAGAAACAGGTTTCGAGTGGCAGCTGTGAAGCGGGTGCTGGGAGAATACTGAGGTACATCAGAGTCAGACTGGGCTTTCAGGGAGTGCCAGGAGAGTGGGGCAGCCCCCTCAGGATGGAAGGGCCCAGAAACTCAGGCTGGGTGTAATAAGGGCTTCTGGGAGGCACAGACTACTACAGGAATGTGAAAGGAGTGATTGCTTCCACCTGTGGGGCAAGGAGGGCGGCTGGGGCAAGAGTGAAGGAAGGATGCTCAGAGGAGGTAGCCCCTAGGTGGGTTCAGACAAGGGGAAAATGGGGAGAGAGGAAGGCACCCAGAAAGAGATAACAACAAGGGCCTAGAGATGATAAATTGTGAGGTGCTCACAGAGATCAGGAATTCAGCTAGGCCAGAGGGGGCCACCACGCTGCTACCTGCCCGAATCCCCCATGGTGCCCTACACAGGGCCAGCACCTGCTCCCTACAATGTGTGCTGTGTCCTCACCTGGCTATGCTACCCTGGAAAACTCCAAATGCTAAAACCAAAACATTACAGCAGCAACCTCCACTCCCCCTCCTGTCCTTGGGTACTCAGCAAGCTTATTGGAGCTGGTTTACTTTAGAGGACCTTATTTAACCCACTGGCCTCCCAGATGAGCCTTGATAGCACAGGAGGGGACCCTTTTAAAACAGGATCCCTTTGAATACTTACAGAGGGCTTGAATATTCTAGGTGCTGTATTAAACTAATTTATTAATTAAACTGATTTACTCTTCACAATGCCCTCATGAGGTAGGCCTCATTATTATCACCTCCATTTTACAGATATAGAAACTGAGGTATAGATAGGTAAGTAACTTGCTCAAGGTTTTTCCCAGCTACTAAGCAGAACTGCTGGGATTTGAAGCTACAGTCTGTGCCACAGTCCATACTCCTAACCACCAAAATATCCTGCCTCCTGTCAGGAAAGAACAATGGAGAATTAGAGAAAGAGTGAAAAGGGCAGGGGATCAGAAGTTGGGAAACCCTCACTCCCATTTCAGCTTTCCTTAACTTGCTGTATGACCTGAGATGAAGTGTTTAACTGATTAACCCTGTGCCTGTCTAATATGGCAGCCACTGGCCACATGGGACTATGGAGCACTTGAAATGTGACTAGTCTGAGGTGAGATGAGCTGTGAATGTAAAATCTAGGGCTTCGAACCGGTTTGTTCCAGTTCGAAACCCTGTTGAGGATATGCATTTCCACTCCAGATATACTGAATCAGAATCTACATTTTAACAAGACCCCCGGACCACGTATACATAAGAATCACCTGGAGATCTTGTTAAAATGTACATTCTGATTCAGTATATCTGGGGGTAGAAATGCAAATTCTCAGCAGGGGTTCAAACCAGAATGAACCAGTTTGAAGCCCTGGTAAAATACATACAGGATTTTGAAGATTTACTATGAAGAAAAGAATACAAAACATCTCATTAGTAATTTTGTAATGCTGACTACATGGTAAGTGATACTTCAGATAAAAAAATCTACTGTTAAAACGAATTCTACCTACTTCTTTTTGCATTTTTTGTGTGGTTACTAGAAAATTAAAAATTCCATATGTGGCCTGCATTATATTTCTACTGGACAGTGGCACCAACTTCACCTCTCTGAACCTTTTCCCCATCCACACGATGGAGGTGGAGCTATACCACCTATCTCACATTGCTGCCATGTTTCTAAAAGTAGCCAGTACTATCAGAAAATAATGTGATTAGTATTAATTACCCTTATCTTCTGAAGGCTGTGGCCTGTAAATCTGCTGCTTGGAGGGGCAGAGAGTATTTCTGACTTGGCACCTCATGGGAAAACAGACCCAAGACTCTGCGCATGAAAACCAGCCTTGGCTAAAGCCTGTGGCAGGTACCAAGGAGCCAGGGAACGGGTAGGATATTAGCCTGAAGGCATTTTGGATGCTTGAAGCTTTGCCTCCAGAGAGAGGCTTCTCTTCCTAGCCTGCCCCATTTTCTGCTATGTTCAGCAATAATAACAACAATTCTGAGTGTCTAGCATGTGCCACTCACTTTACCTACATTATCTCCAGCTCTCACAAAGCTCTATTACCAGGCCCTTTTCAGAGAGAGAAATTTGAAATTCAGAAATGCTACATAATCTGCTCAAGGGCATGTATGTTAGCAAGTGGATGAGCTGCGATTCAAACTGGGATCTGCTGCCAAAGCCACTGCCTTTTAAACATCATTACACCACGCTGTGCCTGCAGTCTGCCCACCTGCCGGGGCCCTGGGGAGGTGCGCGGACAAGGACCGGGCCTTCCCTAGTGGCCATGCCTCGGGGTTTTGTCCAAGTACAATACAGAAAAAAGAATCCTGGAAAGAATCAGAGAATGCAAAGGATGGAGAGTCCCTCAGAGAGCACCCAGGCAAAGGGGGAAAAGCGGCTGGCTCTTGACTTTGGCTGTACATCAGAATCACCTGGGGAGCTGGAAAACAGTGATGCCCAGACCGCACCCCGAGCCTCTGGTGTAACTGGTCTAGGGTGCGTTCTGGGTGTTTTTATAAGCTTCACATGTTTCAATGTGCAGCCAGGGTGGAGTACCACTGCTCTATGGCTAACCCAGCCCCTTCAATATTCAGATAAGGAAACTAGTTGCGCTTTTGCTCCTAACTAGCAGCATGACTTGTACTTACCTATTCTTCACAGCACAATGAGGAGGACCAACAGGCCAAGACCTATCCTTAAATATCTTACAAACCTAGGGCCCATGGGTCTGCTTGCAGCAAGAGATCAAACAATAAAGGGGGGTCTCTTTGTACCTCAGTTACCCTGAAAATTTTGTTTTCTGGAGCAGCCATCTCTGACCTCAACCTCTGCTACTGTGGCATCCTGGGCAAATCCCCCTCCCTCTCTGAACCACAGAGTCCGCATCAGTTAAGTGGGGCTAATTCTACCTACAACTGAGGACACTGTTGTGAGGATCATGCGCAGTAATATCAGTTGAAATTGCTTTGCCAGCTCAGGTTAAATGTTAGTTACTCCTGTTATTCTCCAAGAACTCAGGTAGATTAGGGTTGACTTTGAGGTATACAGGGGAGCTGAGTGAAGGGTGTGGTCTTGTCTAAATGATATCTTTGGATTAGGATGGGATCTAACAGTAGCCTTTGACCATGTATAAAAGCATAGAGGTCAGGAGAAAAACACAAATGTCTGACCTGTTCAAGAAGCACATGGACTTGACTCACGTCCTCCGCTCTTGGCTCATGCCTTCCAGTGCCCCACCCCTTTAATTTCCTCAGATAAACCCAGCTGTTTCTACCTCTGAGACTTCTCTGGGGCCCACAGCATTAGGGACTCGCCTCAGGAACCCCAGGTATGCACTGTGTCCATGAAGATGGCTGAGCTGCCAACAGCCCCCTTTTTCAGGTGGAGAGGGCAAGGGACAGAGAAGTTGGGGGTTCACTGGGGGCCAAACAGTGGTTAGACAGGTGCGGCAGACAGAATAATGACCCTCCCAAAGACATCCATGTCCTAATCCCTGGAGCCTGTGAATGTTACCTTATGTGATAAAAGGGACTCTGCAGATGTGATTAAGGATTTTAACATGGAAAGATTATCCTGGATTATCTGGGTGGGACCAATGTAATCATAAGGGTCCTTATAAGAGGGAGGCAGGAGATCAGAGTCAGAGACGGCGATGTGATGACAGAAGCAGAGGGTCAGAAAGAGAGAGAGAGAGATTTGAAGATGCTGCTAGCTTTGAAGATGAAGGAAGGGGTCATAAATCAAAGAATAAGAGCAACCTCTAGAAGTCGGAAAAGGCAAGGAAATAGATTCTCCTCTAGAACATGCCGACACTTTGATTTTAGCCCAGTAAGACCTATTTTGCACTTCTGACCTCCAGAAACATAAGATTATAAATTTGTGTTGTTTTAAGCCACTAAGTGTGTGGGAATTTGTTATGGCAGCAATATGAAACTAATATAGCAGGAGTGCCTGGACTTTGGCTTTGTATCCAGGGATCTTTTCCACACCTCTGGTAGGAGGGACAGAAGGCTCACATGACTGCAGGGATGGGACACTAGAGAAGAGCTTGGGACACTAGAGAAGAGCTTGGGACACCAGAGAAAAGCTTGGGCTCTATTTCTGGTTTAGCCACAAACTCACTGTGACGCAGAGCAACTCCTCCCTCTCCTGGGGCCTCAGTCTCCTCATCTGAAAGGGGGTTGGAATCCATCATTTGTAGGTTCCCTTCTGTCACAGATTGAATTATGTCCCCCAAAAAATGTGTGTATCAATTTGGTGGGCCATGATTCCTGGTATTGTGTGATTTTCCTATATGTTGTAAATCCTGCCTCTATGATGTTAATGAGGGAGGATGGGTGGCAGTTGTGTAAGGCAGGACTCAATCTACAAGACTGGACTGTGTTCTGAGGCAATCTTTGAGATATACAAGAGAGAAGCAAGCAGAGAAACGGGGGACCTCATACCACCAAGGAAGCAGTGCCAGAGGCAGAGCGCATCCTTTGGACCTGGCGTCCCTGTGCGGTGAAGCTCCTAGTCCAGGGGAACACTGATGAGAAGGCCGAGAGAGAGAAAGCCTTCCCCTGGAGCTGACACCTTGAATTTGGACTTTAAGGCTACTTTACTGTGAAGAAATAAATTTCTCCTTTTTAAGCCATCCACTTGTGCTATTTCTGTTGTAGCAGCACTAGATGACTAAGACACCTTCCAACTTTCACATTTTAGGAAGCTTTGAGTCTAGTCCACACATCCCCAGACTTTTGCTGTAGGACAAGCTGCTATTTCCCTAATACTTCTAAGGAGTATAACAGAATGATGGGAAAACTGGTTCTGGAGTCAGACAGACCTGCATTTGAATTTGACCTTTGCCACTTAATAGCTATGTGACCTGAACAAGTTACTTAGCTTCTTAGAACCTTGGTTTCCCCATCTGGAAAACATGGATAATAATTTTTAGCGCATATGGCTGTTGGAGGTGTAATGTTCCCAGTTCTGTGCCTGGCACTTAGAAACTGTTAAATGAAGAGTGATGATGATGATCACGGTTGGGTGCCAAGCTTGAAGGAGTCCCTGGGTGGTGCAAACAGTCAACTGCTCAACTACTAGCTGAAAGGTTGGCAATCCAAACTTACCTAGAGATGCCTCGGAAAACAGACCTGGCAATCTGCTTCTAAAAGGTCCTAGCCTTGAAAACCCGTGGAGCACTTCTACTCTACACACATGGGGTTGCCATGAGTCAGAACTGACTCGACGGTAACTGTCAACAAGAAGCCAGGCTTGAGGGGGAGGTTGGTGCTGAGCAGAAGGTATGAGTGACCCTGTTCAGCCCCAGCTGGCAACTCTGAGAAACTGCAGAGGTGGGCAAGGCGGAGGTGAACAGCTCAGTGTCTTTGAGCTAAGGGTCTGTGATAAGCTGGGAGGGGCTGTGCTTCTGCTCGGGATGCCTAACACTAGTTGCTGTGTAGGGCCAGGAAGCTGAACCTTCCGCACTAGACTTTCTGGGAAGGTGGTGATTCTGAGCTGTGTGTGTGTAGAGGTTGGGGAGTGTCACAGGTTCAGCCACTGAGATATGCCTGGGTTGCACATACTTACTCAAATGGGTCGCTGGGGTCAGCCTTCTGCAGTTCTGGAGGGATTGGGATCCGCTTGTAGTACATCTCCCAGTCAAAGGCTCCCCGCATGGCATCCCCTGCCTGCGTCTCGTACCGGAAGTCGTCGTGGTCAATCACGTCGATCATGGGGCACACGATGGTCTTGCGGTTCCGAGCAATGCGGTCTGAAGAAGCCAAAAGATGGCCATCAAGTGAGGCAGGATGGTGGAGTAGCTAAGTGCATGGCCTTGTCCTGCATCTTACTCGTATTTTTAACATGTTTCTCCAGTGATTTCTCTGAGCATTCCAGTTTGAAAATCCGTAGGAGGAAGGTAGAGCGCAGGTTTAAGCAAGATGGGTCAGGACTCCTATCCCAGTCCTGCCACCCATAATGGGGCCCTGGGCCAGCTACTTAAATAAATAAGGTCTCCAAGCCCCAGTGTTCTCCGCTATGAAATGGGGACAAGAAGAGGCTCTGCATCATAGGTTATAAGGATTGGATACAATAATATTTGAAAAGTGCTTAGCAGAGGTGACTGTTAGTGATCACCATGCTTATGACAAAGAGAAATTCATTTCCTCTAGAAGGGCCCCTGCTTAGGCCCTGCACGCTCCCCACTCCAAGTCCTGAACTTGACTCCAACCCAGCCCACTTGCCCCTCATGATAGACTGCCTGCCCCTGACGGCTCACTGGTGGCCCCTGGCTTCAGTCAATTAACAGATGACCCTCCTCCTGAGACAGTTCTGTTCAATTTTTGCAACAGTCAGAACTGTGGAAAAGGGAATGGACTGTCCTAGGGAGTAATGACTAACCCTGACAGGAGGTATGCAAGCAGGTGTGCAACTACTACCCTGCAGGAGTGCTACAGGCTAGGTGATTCAAGCATGGGTAAGGCAGCCTGGACCCAGATGTCCTTCCAGTCCTTTTAAAGCCCGGGAGAAGCAGATTCTATGGAATTCACTTTCTTCTCAACCTACCAACAGAATTCAAGCTTCAGTTTGTTCTTTCAATGTTCCTCCTGCCAAGAAGCCCTGACTGCAGCCAGGGGGCGCCAGTGAGCTGTCAGAGGCAGACAATCGGCCTTGAGAGGCAGCAAGTGAGCTGGGCCGGCTGACTGGCTGCTTTAAAAGGCCAGGAGTCAAGTTCAGGACTTGGAATGTGGGGCCTGGCAGGGCCAGAGCACGCTGACACCTGTCTGGGGCCCAAGTTTCATCAAGTTACAGCACGTTTTCCTTCCAGGAGAGAAAGCAGTGCTTTCACCTTTTTCTAAACTGCAAGTCACAATTTATAGGTGGGTTGTGAAATCAGTTTTGTTGTGTGCATGTGTTTTGTAATGAAACAAAGAGTAATACAGAGTAACAAGGTGCATTCCAGGTGATAAGGCAAAGTACTGGTTCAGGAAATGTGTTTTAGTCATACTACTTGAGTGCGCATTTGTCTGTTGGATTGAGATGTTCAATGCATTTCTAACTGTGGGGCATGGCCAAGAAAGCTTGAGAAATGCTACCCACGGGGAGCGTATCCCCAAGAGTGGACTGGGGGCCACCAGTGCCAATGCATCTGGGATGTGTGTAAAAAAACATGCATGCAAAACAACAACAACAACGAACAAAAAAAATCACCCATGCCCGCCTCCGCCCCAGGCCCAATGAGTCAGTCTCTGGGGGTCAGCTTGGATCTGCCTGGCGGACAAACTTCCTGGGGATTCTTAAAGAAGCTTAAGAACCTTCTCTGGGGAAAGAGCTAGAGAAGAGCAGGGCTTTGAACTGGTTTGTTCTGGTTCGAACCCCTGCTGATAATTTGCATTTCTACTGCAGATATACTGAATCAGAATCTACATTTTAATAAGATACCTGGGTGATTTTTATGTATACATAAGAATCACCTGGGGATCTTGTTAAACTGTCGATTATGATTCAGTATATCTAGGGTGAAAATAAAAATTCTCAGCAGGGGATTGAACCTGAACAAACCGGTTCAAAGCCCTGGAGAAGAGCCTCCCTTCCTAATTATTCATGGCCATTCAGCGGATTTCATTTCCGACAAGGTCTGGGCTGAAGACACAGGTTTCTGCTGGATGCGGGCTGACTGGGAGGCATGAGGCCAACGGGTAGCATCAGATGGGCAGCATCTCATGGTGTTGTGCTTGCCTGGGGACAGGCTACCCAGGTTCAAACCCTGGTTTTGTTGCCTACTAGCAGTATAACCTTGGATGAGGATATCTGATGCCACTGAACGTTGGGTTCCTTGCCTATTATGGAACGGAAGTGAGACAACACCTGTCTCATGGGATCTCTATGAGGACTGAGTGAGACAATGGAGCCAAGAAGCTTAGCTCAGCCTCTAGCACATGATTGGCACTCAGTGAACATTCTCTGGGATGAGAATTATTGAAAGAAGCTCAGAAACAGGAGTTGGAAGGTTGAACATCTCCCTCATTCTCTTTGCCCCCCAGTTTTCTCATTTGCAAAATGTGGATAATAATGCTTGGCCTGCCTGCTTCACTGTATAAATGTCAAATTCAAATGTGCAAGAGACCTAAAAAGCTAAGAGACTATTACAGTTATGATGATGATGATGATGATGAAGGAAATGATGATCAACAGTGACTTTTTTTTCGGGGGGTGGAATGTTTTCAGGCCCAGAAATGTCTACTCTCCAAAAAACGTAGAGTGAGCCACGCATGGAGGTGTTAACGGTTTCACAGACAAAAGCCATGATGCTTTCTGTCAGCTGCTGATATTAGAAGGAGCAGACTTTTAAATCTACACCACTGGTTCACATTTCTATTGGAAAAAGAAAAAAAAAAAAATATAACGAGGGGGGAATGTTTCTTCCATGTGTATCTGCAGATTATGAAAATTACCCTCATACATTTCCATAGAAACAGAGTTAAGGGCTATTTAGACTACCAGCTCAGCTTCATGCCCCACCACTTCATTCTTTTTATGAGTCACTGAATGACCCTACAGATGGGTTGTTCCTTCAGATCTATAAATTAGGTGCTTTATGGTGAGGTTTTTTTCTTTTTTCCCCTTTGGGTAATGAGAGACAGATGCAGAAGACTGCTTGGTTTAATTAAATACACAGTTTATCAGAAATTCTGGGCTATAGTCTTTTCCTAACTCAGTGAGACCCTGGACCCTTGCGGTCAAAGCTCATAATTGAATAATAATAAAGCTCTACGCTGGTCTGTGTCAAAAAACAAATTTGCTGGATTATCCCATTTAACTGTGTGGGCTTTGCTTTGTGTCCTCACCCCTTGAATTAGCATTCCCTAACCAGTGCCACTCAAGGGTGGTTCCTGAACCAGCAGCATTGGCATCACCTGGGAGCTTGTTAGAAATGCAGATTCTCAAGCCCCACCCAGACGTCCTGTCAGAAAATCTGGGGCTGGGGCCCAGTACTCTGTGTTTTAACCAGGGCTTTGAACTGATTCGTTCCAGTTTGAACACCTGCTGATAATTTGCATTTCCACCCCAGATATACTGAATCAGAAACTACATTTTGACAAGATGCCCAGGATGGGGATCCAACTGGTTCAAAGCCCTGTCTTAACAAGTCTTCCAGGTGATCTGATGCTTGCTTAAGTTTGCCCTAAACTTCAGTCCGCTTTGCTCCCTAAACTTTGTTGTTTGAGGGCTTACCCATCCATTCTTGAAGAGTTAACTTGTCTTCTCTAGATTGATGACCTCTTCCCCAATGTGCCTCCCCACTCTTGTCCCTCACCTGACTCCCAGCCTCATGGAGGACATTTCCTCTATCTGTTGGCCAGCACCAGTTCATTGCCTTCATCAAAGCAGGACTCCTCAGGATTCAGGTCTGCTTCTTCAACCAGCTATGAGGCCACCTCACTGCCTATTACCCAATCCTCATGTCTCCATTTTGCTCATAGGCTATAATGGGTGAGGAGCCCTGGTGGAGCAGTGGTTAAGAGCTCGGCTGCTAGCCAAAAGGTTGGCAGTTTGAATCCACCAGCTGCTCCTTGGAAACTCTATGGGGCAGTTCTACTCTGTCCTATAAGGTTGCTATGAGTGGGAATCAACTAGATGGCAACGAGCTTATGGTGGGTGACTCCTGGGTCAAGCTGCCTTGTCTGTAGTTCTCCCCTGACATCTGTTGGAAACTCTTCCTTAAAGGAAGTGAATTTAGGGAGGCAGTGTAGAACTGTGGAAGAGCACAGACTTTGGAGCCAGAAAATGATGTCCTTGACACTTTGTGGCCCAAGGGGAAAAGCGAGTCACTCAACTGCTCTGAACCTCAGTTTCCACTACTGTAAAAAGTGGATGCTTTCTACCTTGCATGGTTTTGTAACGGTTAGAGATAATGCTTGTAGCCTGCCTGGCTCACAGTAGTGGTGCAATAAATAGTAACTATGCTAAGCTGATATGATGATAGCCAAAAACCCATTGCTGTCGAGTCGATTCTGACTCATAGCAACCCTACAGGACAGAGTAGAACTGCCCCACAGGGTTTCCAAGGAGTGGCTGGTAGTTTCAAACTGCCTAGCAGCTGAGCACTTAACTACTGCGCCACCAGGGCTTTGATATGATGATGTTATCTCATAATTTGGTTCTTAACAGTAGAGGCCTTGGCTTGTTTTCTGAAAAATTTGAGTTAATCTCAGGGAAGCAATCACGTCATTAGACTTAGACATTCTGTGTGACACTTCGGGCAGTCACTTCTACTTGCTGAGCCGGTTTCCTTCTCTGTAAAATGGAGGGACATGACTGATGGACTTTAGTGTCCCTGTGAGTATCCCAACCTTCTGAACCCCTCATGGCACCTGGCGTTGTGCTGGGTACATCTCAAGCAGACAGGGGAACCCTCATGGATGACTCCCTGCAGAAGGCTGGGTGGCCTGGGCCAGGGCAGCTGGCTCATTCCAGGCCGCCTACCTCGCCTCGGGAAGGGCTCTCTCACCGAGCAAGGGGGGCAGCCAGTTGACGTTGGCTTCACAGTGCGAGTCTAAAAATGTGATGACATCCCCACTCGCTGCTGAGGCCCCCAGCATCCGGGTTCTTATCAGACCTTCCCGTTTCTTGGTACGAAGAATCCTCACGCTGGGGAAAAGGGCCATGTAGTCTTCAAGTGGCTTCTTCAGGTGCTCTGTGAGGGAGATATTAGAGGACGGATGGATAGATGGGTAAGAACAGTGGTGTAGTAATCATTCTTGCGGCACCTCCCCCTTACATGTGCATCATAGTTTACACTTTACATGCAGCTTTCTGGTAAACTACTTCATTGGATCTTTCAGATAGGGTTAAGAAAGGCAAGGATCATCACCTGTATACTACAAATGGGGAAACTGAGGGTCAAAGAGGTCAAGTGACAGTGCTAGGCCTGGATTACAGACAGATCTTCTGTACCAGGATGTGGGCATACATGGTTTCTGCCTAGGACCTATTCCCTCTATTTCTGGTAACAATACTCTGATTTTCCTTTGGGAAACTGCTCCTCCCCTTCTTGGTCCATTAAGTTTTGGTGGGGCTAACCCCACCCCCTGGTTCCAAAGGGGAGGGGCATGTGACTCAAACCTGGAAAATCAGAGCATTTCATTCCCTTGGCCACAGTGACTGGTTCAGGGATGGCCATGTTACCTGAGCTGGTCCAAAGAGAGTGAGTCTTGAGGACTTTTTCAGAACTATTGGAAACGAGGCCCCTTCCTTTTGCTAGAGTTACAAAGTTGGTTGGCTGTAAGTCTGGAGCTGTTGGTGACCATTTTTTGGCAAAATGAGGGGATGGGAGATGGCAGTGTGTTATAGATTGAATTGTGTCCTCCAAAAATGTGTGTCAACTTGGCTAGGCCATGATTCCCAGTATTGTGTGGTTGTCCACCATTTTGTGATCTGATATGATTATCCTATGTGTTGTAAATCCTACCCTCTATGATGTTAATGAGGCAGGATTAGAGGCAGTTATGGTAATAAGGCAGGATTCAATCTACAGGATTAGGATGTATCTTGAGTCAATATACAATATCTACTGAGATATAAAAGAGAGAATTGAGCAGAGAGAAGAGGGACTTCATGCCACCAAGAAAGAAGCATCGGGAGCGGAGCACATCCTTTGGACCCGGGATTCCTGTGCTGAGAAGCTCCTAGACCAGGAGAAGACTGATAACAAGGACTTTCCTCCAGAACCAACTGAGACAGAAATCACTCCCCTGGAGCTCACACCCTGCATTCAGACTTCTATCATCCTATACTGTGAGAGAATAAATTTCTGTTTGTTAAAGTAATCCCCTTGTGGTATTATTGTTATAGAAGCACTAGATAACTAAGACATCCAGAATAGTCAAAATAATCTTGAAAAAGAATAACAAAGTTGGAGAACTCACATTTTCCAACTTCAAAACTTAACACAAAGCAACAGTAATCAAAATAATGTGATATTGACATAAAAGTAGACATACAGATCAATGGAATAGAATTTAGAGTCCAGAAATCAGAGCTTTTAACTGGTTTGTTCTGGTTCGAACCCCTGCTGAGAATTTGCATTTCCACCCCAGATATACTACTGAATTAGAATTTACATTTTAGTAAGATCCCCATAAATGTTCATGGCTGCGGATTAGGCAATGATTTCTTAAATACAGCACTAAAAGCGCAAAGCAACAAAAGAAAAAACAGATAAACTGGACATTATCAAAATTAAAAAGCTGTTGGGTTTCAAAAGTTGCTATCAAGAAAATAAAAACACAATCCACAGAATGGGAGAAAAATCTGGAAGTCATATATTTGATAAGGAAATACATAAAGAACTACTACAACTCACTAATAAGAAGACAAACATCCAATTTAAAAATGGACAAACGATCTGAATAAACAGACACTTTGGAAAATAATTTGGCAGTTTCTTAAAAAGTTTAATATATACTTACCATACAACCCAGCAATTCTACTCCTAGGTATATATCTAAGAGAAATAAAAGCAAATGTCCACACAAAGTCTTGTACATGAATGATCCCAGCAGGAATATAAGTAATTGCCAAAAATTAGAAGGTATCAAAATGTCTATCAACTGATGAGCAGATAAATAAAATGTCATATATTCATACAATGGAATACTACTCATCAATAAATAAGGGATGAGTTATTGCAACAACATGGGTAAGCTTCAGAAAATATTATGGTAGGTGATGGAAGCTAGATACATAAGACTGGATATTACATGATTCCATCTATATGAAATGTCTAGAAAGGCAAAACTATAGACAGAAAATCAGTGGTTGCCTGGAGCTGGGTTAGGAGTAGGAACTGACTGTAAACAGGCACAAGGGAAGTTTTGGATTGTGGTGATAGTTTCACAACTGTGTAAGTTTACTTAAAAGCTCAATGAACTGCATATTTTTAAAAAATGGTCATTTTTATGGTATGTAAAGTATACCTCAATACAGCTATTATATTCTAAAAAATCAATTGCATTTATAATAGCCTCACATATATAAAGATTCAAGTAAATGGGAGCTAAATTATACTTATAGATTTGAAGACTCCATATTGTTAAAATGTCAATTCTCAAATTGATCTATAGAGTCAATATAATCCCAGCAGAGGTTTTTTTTTTTTTAAGAAACTGGCAACTTGGTTCTAAAATTTATATGGAAACACAAAGGACCCACCTAGATGAGTCAAAACAATTTTGAAAAAGAAGAACAAAGTTGGAGAACTCAAATTGATTTCAAAACTTACTGTAAAGCAGCCAAAAGGTGGAAACAACCTAACTGCCCATTAACAGATGAATAAATAAACAAAACGTGATACATACATATACTGGAATACTACTCAGCCAGGAGAAGAAACAGTCTTAATACATGATGCAATATGGATGGAGCTTGAAGACATCATGCTGAGTGAAATAAGTAGTCACAAAGGACAAATACTGTATGACCTCGCTTATATAAAAAGACAAGAAAAGGCAAATGTATAGAGACCAAAGTTTATTAGTGGTTACCAGGGGTAGGAGGGAGGGGGAAAGAGGAGTCAGTGGTATTGGAAAAATTGAATTGATTAACGGTTGGTTTGCACAGCCGATTATTGTAATTGCTGTCAATAAGTTGTATATCTGTAAAAAGTTGAACTAACGAAAGATGTGTGATAGATATATTTACAACAATGACCAAAAAAAAAAACTGCTGAGGCTGCTTATGCATAAACAAAAACCTGATGGGATTTGGTTCCTTGATTTGGGGTTTTAGGGTCATGGTTTCATGGGACATCCCAGTTAACTGGCCTAATAACGTGTTTAGTGCTTCTCTTCTACCTCCTAGTTCAGTACGTATGTAGTGCCTGGTGTCTTAAAAGCTTACAAGTGGCCTGTGGGTACAATAATTGGTCTCTATTTGCCTGGAGCAACAGAGGAAGAAGAAGAGTCAAGAAGAGGAGGAGGAAATGGATTGTGTGGCGAATTGCCTCCATGAACAACTGCTTCCTTTGCCATGAGACTAGAAAAACAGGATGGTGCCCAGCTATCATTACTGAACATTTTGATCAAAGATTCCATGGAAGCATCCTGATCAAAAGGGGAAAAATGCAGAACAGAATTTCAAATTCTCATGGACTCCAGACTTTCTGGAGCCAAGACAGCTGGATGAACCCCTGAAACTACTGCCTTCAGATAATCTTTAAACCTTAAACCAGAAATAGCCCCTGAAGTCTTCTTAAAAGAAAACAATAGGTTAGATTAACTAGTAAAGAAGGTCTGCCTTGAGCATTATGTTCTTTTAAGAACTATCTATATGGGATCAAAGTAACAACAGCAACCAAAAGATTGGACAGGAACCATAGGAGGCAGTGAGTTCATGTAAATGGGGGGAGAAATAACTCAGAAAAGGAGGGTGAGAATGGTTGCACAACTTGAAGAATGTAATTAATGTCACTGAATTGTACATGTAGAAATGGTTGAATTGGTGTATTCTTTAACAAGAACAATAAGATAAAGTAAAAAAAAAAACTTAATATTTAAAAGACAACTGTAAAGCTAAAATAATCAATACAGCATGGCACTGGCAAAGAATAAACAAAGAGGACAATAGAACAAAACAGAGAGGTCAGAAATAGACCAACACATATGGTCAACTGATTTTTCACAAAGGCATCAAAGCAATTCAATGAAGAAATAAAAGACTTTCAATGACCAGTGCTACAACAACTAGATAAACATACGAAAAAAGATGAATCGCAATCCCTACCTCATACCACACACAAAAAAATAATTTTAGTTGTGTGATAGTTAAGGTTGTGTGTCAACCTGGCTTGGCCATGATTCTCAGTAGTTTGGCAGTTATGATGTAGTTTGGTGGTTATGTAATGACACAATCACCTCCATGATGAGGTCTGATATAATGTGATCACTTCCATGATGAGATCTGCTACGAGTAGGCAGTCAGTTGAAAGGGAGTATCCTTGGGGGTGTAGCCTGCACCCAATATAGGTGGACTTTCTGGCAACGCTCACTGGCTTTTGCTCGCTCTGGATCCTGCAGCTGGCTCCTGTTCGCCTGACCTCCCATTCTTGGGACTTGAGCTAGCAGCTTACCTGCCATCTTGCCTGCCCATCCTGGGATTCATCAATCTTTGTAGCCTGTGAGCCAGAGCCCTACTGTCTGACTTGCCTATCTTGGGTTCACCAGTCCCTGAAGCTACGTGAATCAGGAGGGGCCTCCAGCCTGACTTGGGAGGTTTCAGCTTCTACAACTGTGTGAGCCATTTCCTTGATATAAATCTCTCTATCTATATATATTTATATGCTTTACTGGTTTGCTTCTCTAGAGAATTCAGCCTAAAACAAGTTGGATCATAGAACTAAAAATAAAAGCTAAAGCAATAAAGCTTCTTGAAGAAAACACAGGAGAATATCTTTGTGACCTTGGGATAGGAAAAGATTTCTTAGACAGGACATAAAAAGCACTAACCATAAAGCAAAAACAAAAACAAAAACTGATAAACTGCACTTCATCAAAACTGAAAATTTGTTCTTCAAAAACTTGCTCAACAAAAGACACCATTAAGAAAATGACAAGGTAGGCCAGAGTCTGGAAGAAAATATCCTCAATACATGTGTATCTGACAAAGGCCTTGTATCCACAATATATAAAGAATACATAA